ATGCCTTTTCTTTGATTCCTCCTCCACCCCAAGGGACCCTGATCAGCACTTGTGCATCTGTTTAGGATTTGTAGGATTTGGTTGCTGTACAGTTGGCAATATAAGATCTGCAGTACCGTAAATAAGTTCATTTATTTAATCTTATAACGAGTCTTTTTACTGGACTTAACTGATTATTTGGTGCATATATTTAATCTTATTGTGTGAAAAAGCTGCTATGGGAAATATGTAGATTATAATAAATATGTAAACATAATTGATTTTTCATGTTATGAAACTGTTATGGAGGAACTGATATATTTTAGTATAAAATAATGGAAATGTGCTGAATTATCTCTGATAAAGCTTTACTGGAAATGGTTTCGGTGTTGGCAGCCCCTCCATGGTTTTTATTTGTGTTGGTTCTGAGTCAGTTTTGTGTTGAAAAGACATTTAATTACCCTTGGAGTTTTCCCTTCATCATCATGTTGTAGTCCCCTGGCAGTGTGAGCGGGTGTTGTGCTGTGCTCCCTGGAGTGTGTGTTTGCATCTGGCCGAGGCAAAGACTTGCTAATTCAGGAGGATCAGCCTAATAACTCATCTCTAATATCCTGGACCTGTGGTCGGAGCAATGGGCTGGAAAATGAAAACAGTGGATTGTAGTATTTAATCTCAAATCCCAAAATATAGGTTTGTGTGTCTCCTGTTGCTAAATATGTCCTCCAAGTTTTTTTTCATTCTGTGTGGTTCCTCTTGCTCTAAGGGAAAAAAAAAAAGATGTGGTTAAAGAATTCTCATTTCTGCAATTCCTGGCAGAGCGGCAGTTTCGTAACTCAACCAGTTAGAACCGTGCTAAGAAAATTATTGCTGAGCATTGAAATGAAGGGAGAAAATCCATAATATTTCTGCAGGGCACATTTCACACACACACACACTGTTTTTAAATTTCTGCTTTATTCTTCCTAGTACACAAGCAGCTACTTCCAAGCTGGCCAGGCACTGGAACACAAGGGATGGTATTGATAACTTTACCACGCTTCACATGGATGGGAGTGTTTTTACCTGTGTTCTTCAGGCTGTTTCTCTATGTGTTTGTCTGATCTTCAGTCTCTGGTTGCTGGAGCAGGGCAGGGGCGTTTGGGCAGCCCCCAGAACCCTGTGTTGAGGCAGCAGCTCTGTGTGTCCATAGCCTGGGGTGCAGCTGTGGCTTCTCCTCAGGGCAGGGCAGGAGTGAGGGGCAGGCAGGACTTTGACCAGGCACTGCTGGGGAGGTGAGTTTGCCCTTCCTGGGAAGCCACAACATCTTTTCTTAACCAGTATTGATTTCAGGAGTATTGCATATGGAAGTGGGGGATAAATTCCTGATGGATTCTCATATCAACCAGAGTTCTCATTTGTAGTTTAGAAGTCCTTTCTTTGAATGGTCTTACCATTACTGTGAGAAGAGTCAGTTCCTCGCTGGATGTTGAAAATGAAAGAGCAAAAGTGGATTTTGAAGTGGTGTGAAAGTGTCAGATAAATTGTTGGCAGCCTGTCCCCCAGGGCTGTGTCCCCTTAGGTGTTGCATTCCCAAAACTGCTGCGGGGAGCCAAGGCTGGTCCACCACTTGTGATGGTGCAGCTCGTTTAGTCACAACTGTTTTAACCCTAAACGTAGCAACTTGTTTCCCAAGATCACTTGATGCATATTCTTCCTATTTTTACTTTTTGTCCCAAAACTTTCATTAGAAACAGGAAGGAGAGGTAACAGCTGTGTCACTGCTGAAGGAGGAAATAATTCTGAAACTCCTTTTGGCAGTATTGAATTATGAAATCCTTCAGAGCAACGTGCAGGACAGGAGACTGCAGTGAGAGACACACTGAGCCAAAACTGAGCCACGTTCTAGGTGACATCTCTGTGCCCTGCACCTCCCCTGTCACTGCATATCTGAACCACTGGTGATGCTTTCAGATCTGAGTACAGAAGCAGCTGTTGGTCTGTCTGGTACTGAGTGAGGAAAGCAAATAAACACTCTGGACCCAAAACAAAACCCTTTCTCACAAAATATCCCAGACCTTGTAAATGAGTTTCTGATTGCACTTTCTGATTTTTTTCTTTTCATATACCTTCTTGGAACTTCTATTGTAACTGTAACTATTTTTGTTCTCACCTATTGTGCATTCTCTATATGTATTAAACAAAAAGGCTTTGATATGTAATTTAATAATAAAATAGAATTCTAAGCAAGGTGCTTTGTTCTTTCCCCCACTGACAATCTGCTTAAATGTAAACTTTAGGGAAGATGCAGAGAAGATTCATTTCACCACTTTAGAATTGTCCCTGAACATATCAGTCAGTGTGTTCTGCAGTTTTATACCAAATATCAGAGGTGATGGAGCATTTCCTGACCCAAAATGCTTGGTGTGATGGAATCTGGACTCATCTTCTCCTGCCTGTGAAGGGGTTGATTATAGTCATGATGTTTATTCTTGCTGTTCTTTGACAGGTCAACAAGGATGGTTTTCTTTAGAGGTAAGTGTTAAAAATCTCTCTCTGTGAACTTCTGTGTTCAGAACAGACAGGAGCCTGTTACCCTGTGGTTTTCCAGCACTGCTGTGGTCTGCTCCACCTCCCTCCTCAGGTGTTCAAACCAGGCAGTGTCGTGCCTGAAGGATCCATCTGTACCTGGGAGTCTTGCAATCTCTGCAAAGATCAGAATATTTCAATGCTAAATCTTTCAGTGTCACTCAAATTTATTTTCTCAAACCAGCGAAGCTGCCTGGCAGGTGATACCCGTCCGTCTGCGTGAGCCCCCGAGAGGAGACAGGGATTTCTCGTGGCAGAGCTGTGAGCAGAGATACATTTCTGTATCCTTAATGCCTACTAAATATTCAGGAGTGACCAGATGCTTTCCCAAGGGAAAGCTTTGACTGCGTGTTTCAAGCTAAAGAAGAAACTTCAAAAAAACTCCTGGAGATGGAAAGGCAGTTCTGGTTTCAGACAGTGGGAAGTGCAGTTGGTTTCTCCAGTTGTGGCGCTGGTAATAAGTGGTGCATAAAATTCCATCTTCGTTTGGATTAGAAAATAAATTATTAATGGCACTGAATCCTTTTTTCCAGCTCCCTGTGCAGTCAATAATTTATAGTGGCACAGGCGTACGATATATATTTTTAACCATCCGCCTCCCAGAATCCTGTTGTTCATATTGAAAACTGCTGTCCTTCCTGACAGGCTCCGGCACAGTGGGTGTTCCTGCATTATGGATGAGCCCTGCTCTGCTCCTTCAGTCCTGGTGCCATTCCACGAGCAGATTTCCTGCTGAAAGGGAGCCCGAGCGCTCCATTAGAAATTCATACAGAGAGACAGGAGTGTCTTTGTTTTTCCCCTTTCACTGAACGTGGGCGATGTGCAGCTCCTTGGACTCGATTTTTGACTGTTTTAATAGCAAACCCTCAGTGTTTACAGTGGGCATTCCCATTTCCTGAATGCCAGCCCTTTATCCACCATCTCCAGGTACAGAAGCTGTGCTGCCAACGCTCGTGCCTTGGCATCTGGGCTGTGCTCATTAAACACTCAGAGCCTGCTGTTGCCTTCATCTTCCCCTTCCTTGCAAGCTGCTGAGGCTGTTGGAGCGTGTGTGCTGCTGCTCATCCCTGGCTCAGCCCTTCCCTGTCGCAGCCCTCCGTGTTCTTTGTTCCTAATGGGACTCTGAGGCTTTGCTAACCCAGTTTTGAGAGGCTGCAAGTAAGGCAGGAGGAGTCAGGCTGCAATCACAGTGTCTGTGCCTCTGAAAGGGCATTTGCAATTCTCTGGGTTATTTTCTGGTTGTCTTGACTCTTGCACCCTGTGAGCCCTCTGTCAGCCAGGGGTGTGATTTTGAGAGGTCTCCTGTGATTGTGGCCATTTAGATCTTTTACATCCTGTGTTGCTCTGCCTTGCTCTGTCTGCTCACTGCCCATCCAGTTCTCCTCACTTCCCTCCTGGATGTTTGCCTTCAACCAGACATTTCAAACACACGAATTTATTTTTGGTTTCACAATTTTTCCTTTCTTTTTAAAAAAAAAAAAAAAAATCCATCCTTACTTTGAAGTCCACACAGGCTGTCCAGGGTGACTTGAAGCTTATCAATCAAAGCCACACCTGAAGAAAAATCACTGGTAACCACTTTGGTGCACGAGCACAGCGTGGTGCTCTCCCACAAATGCTGTAAATAGGTAGGGTTTAGGTGCTGTTCTGTTTCTTTTCTTATCTTCCTTGCCCATACCCATCCATATGATGCGGAATTCTTGGAAGTGGGAACAATATTATTCTTCTTTTAGTCATTCTAAAGCTGCACTGAAAATAGAAGCTCCTCGCTGCAGGTTGCAAAGTCCCATTGAGCTGCCAGCTGTACAGTGGAAACTTCCCTAAGATGTTTGCTGGTACCTGTGCCCTGGGCATGTCATCTCCTACAGATCCCTCTTCCTCCAGACCGGTGCTGAGCTGGCTGCTTTCAGGGTGAAATGCTGCTGAAACGCCAAATATTTAAGGGAACCTTTTCTTAGGACTCTGCAGGATGCTCAGGAATATTGCAGGTGTAAAAAGAAATTGTGAGTAGCTGGGAAAGTGCTGATCAGGTGTCCCTGGCAGGTCCAGCTTTAACACAAACTGTAATTTATTACATTAAAAAGTAACTGGACCGTGCAAGGTCCTTGTCCCCACTGGGCACTGGTGGGTACCTGTGTTGTGGTGCTGAACCAGTGGGGGATTCCATGAGTGTCCCCCCACTTTCCAGTGTCAGGGGAGGCTGGATTGACCTTGGGGCTTCATCAGCCTGTCTCCTGGATGCAGGAGAACATCCAAGTGCAGAAGGGGGGATAGGTGGATATTTCCCTGCCGTGCTTTAAATGAAGTTCCCTCTGGGTCAGGCGTGTATCACCAGTGCTAAATTTACTTCAAAATATTACTGAGGTGGGGAGGTTTGTGAGTCAGGTCTATAAAAGCATGCACTGCTTATGTAAAGAAATACAGCTTGGAAAGAGGCAGGAGGGGCTTGGGCTGCAGTGAGACCATTCCTGGTGTGTCTGTGCCTTCTCAACTTAAATAGGTCTTTGAATTCATGTAGTGACTGTGCCTTCAGGTTGTGTGTGTTCCTTACAGCAGGACTGAGGGATCTGCTGGCCAGCTCTTCTTCTGTTTCCAAACATCTCAGGAAATGTAGATAATTTTTCAAGCCCACGCTCTGGCTTAGATGAAATTGTTTTAAAATAAAAAACAAACACTGGGGGATGATCAATTCTTGATGCTTCAGGGTTGCTTCAGGTGGAGTTGTGCTGCAGTGCCTCTGGGAGGGGAAAGGAGAGGTGGGAGGGATGTTGCTGTGGGGATTTTGGTATTTGGATCTCGTTTCATTCATTCAGGTGCCCTTGTCTGTGTGGTCTTGAACACCTGAGGTCCTGCAGTCAGCTGAGTCTGTGCCAGCAGAGCATCTCTGTGCCTTTGCCATGGCAGGTGTTGGCCACCCTGAACAACCACTAGCGTGCGTGTGTCTAACCACAACCACATCCCAGGGGAGCGAGCTTCTCCTGTGCTTCCTCAGGGAAAGATATGCCTTAACTCAGCAGCCAAATTCCTTCTGCAGTTGTACTCTTAATGCTCTTGGGAGGTGAGTGCTGGGCTCACTGTGGTTGGGAGTTCTGGGCAGGGGAGGAAGAGCTGTTCCTCAGCTGTTCACTCATTTTTTGGGACACTTCAGCTTATACCCACTCTGTGCTTTGCAGTCAAGCATCAAGGTAAAAATCGAGCGTTGCTTTAAGGATAGCAGGTCTTACCAACATTTCTTTTGTTTTGTTGCTGCTTGCTGTGTACCTGTGTACCTCTGCAGACCAGTAACAAGTAACACTGCAGGGCATGAGGTGCTGGTTTGTTTTTCTGCCCATCTGGAATTGGCAAAGTGATCTGTTTGCATTAAACCTTGCTGGGAAGGAGGATAAAACACAGGTTTTATTAAATTGTACCTGAGACCAAATAACTGGAATAAAATGCTTTGGAATCCGTAACCTATAATTAAACATTTCCAAGCGGCAGCGAGGTGCAGTGAGCTCAGCAGAAGGAGGCATTTTGCTGGGAAGCCTTTGCTTTGTTTCACGCTGTGTGCTATTAAAGCAAACAACTTTGCAAGCTTCAGAAGCTTTCTGCAGCTCTTGACCAAGAATAGCATCTCACATCACAGCTAAGCTGGAAACAATGAGGGCCAGCAGTTGTCGGTTGGTTGGGTTTTTTTAGCATGTAAACTAGGTAGCTTAGCTCGTGGAGAAATCCCCATTTCTCTATTTTAGGTGTTCTAGGAGGTTTCTTCTTCTGAAGGATCCAGCAGTAACCACCATAAAGGAAAGGTCCTTGTTTAGAGCAGTGCCCTGATCTGCTGATGCAATTCCCAGGCTCTCCTCCGTTATATAAATCCTAGATCCTCACCACCTAATCCAAACTTCTGCAGAGTCTGTCAAATATGTCTTGTCTGATTAAAAAGATGAGTCTGAGATGTGATAGAAACATCTACCAAGTAAGATCACGAGGAATCCCCGTCCCTGGAAGTGTTCAAAAGGCGTGTGGACGTGGCACTTGGGGGCATGGTTTAGTGGTGAACATGGCAGTGCTGGGTTAGACTGGATGATCTTAGAGGTGTTTTCCAACTCCAGTGATTCTGTGATCAGCCTCACTCCTGATTCCATGTCTCTCTGTGTGGATGCAGGAGCTGTGGCTGCGTTGCTCCTACTGCGTTTGCAGAGGAGCGGTGACAGCTTTGAACTGGTGGCAACATGCAGAGTCTTCATCTGTAAAGGGGTGGGATCTGCTTGATCTGGGTAGGAAAATAGGAAAACAGAGTCTTTTGGCACCCTCACAAAGTCAAATTCATTTTTTCTCTCCTCTTTTACTGGAGTCTACCAGGAGTGTGTTCAGGGAACCATGTATCTACATTTCATCTTTTTTTAAATCTCTGCAGCTAAGAAGCTGTTCTGTGAGCAGAGGGGGGAGTTTGGGGTGCAATCCATTCTTTTTTGGCCCGGTGTTGGGTGTTGCATCTCTGCAGACCAGGGTGAGCTGCACCAGAGCCAGGATGTTTGTGTGCTGCTCATCACAAGGACTCTGCACCTCTGCAGCCTTGAGCTCTCCCACTGCCACTGCACCACACTGCTGCCCCAGGGCTCTGGCTCCAGCGCTTCCCAAATGACTTCCCAAGAGGCTCTGCATGGCTTTCAGCGAGCCCAAGGAATCCCTGAGCTGCTCTCTGTCAACAGCAGCCAGTGTTGGGAGTGAGAGAGAAAATGGAAATATTTTCCCTGTGCTTTTACTTCGTAGCACCTGACTGGAGCAAAGTCATGGAAACCAGTTGAAGAACTGGTGGCCAACTTTTTGTCCTCTGCTTGAACCACAAACTCATGCAAATTCATTAGTGAAGACAAACATTGAGAGGTAAAGGGAGAGCCTACAATGTTTAGCAGAAAACGTATGCAACATGGAAATTGGATGTAAACCTCTTGCTGTTCCTCTGTGAATCTATTATACATGAGCCCATCAGAGCAGAGTATTAATAAAACAGGAGCTAAAGCACTTGGCTCTGCCTCCTCTTTAGCGAAACATCAGAGCCCAGGCTGCCTTTGAAGTCTGGAACTTGCATCTGCCCGGCTGCTTCGGTGTCATGGTCAGGATGCTCCGAGGGGAAATCTCGCCACTGAAGGGGAATCTCTCCGTGGTGGGGGAGGTTTATGTGAGTCAAATCCTCCTCCTCCAGAACAAAACCATTGCGTTTTTTCTGCTCAATCTCCTCACCTGCTGAATTCTTTAAGCAATACACAAAGAAGGCTAAAGATGCTTTAAAGCAACCTCAGACATCACGTGCTGGGATCTAAATGGCTTTTGTTCCTCGAAAGCTTTCCCCACCACGACCCCTCCGTCCCAGCCTTTTGTTATGCACAGGTACCACAACCCCCTTTGATTTGCTGGATAGTGGGAAGGAAATTACACTGGACTTTCTAAACATCTACATTTTGTCTCTTCATCAGGACAAATAAATGTGGCTCTTTCGACCTGCCCTGTAATCCCAGTTGTGTTGCCAAAGCCCTTGTGCAGACAGTGATACCTCTTGCCCTGCTGGGTGAGCAGAGGCAGTGGGGAGATGCTGCAGTTGAGTAACACGAGCTTTGTGCATAGCCCAGCCTTGGTGTAAAACAGGAGTAACTGTAGTGTGGTGTAAGTTTGGACCTGCATGGCTGTGAGTAATTAATCTTGGCTGATGGCGCTTAGAGGTTTGAGCAGCTGCTATCTGAGCCCTGGGGTGGGAAACTAAACATCAAGAGCACTGATTTAGGTGGTGTTACAAGGGGAGGGTGCTTAGGGGTAAGACCCAGCAGATCTAATTAGACTTGTGGTTTTCAAAGCAATGGGGAATGGACACACCAAAGGAATAGTCTTAATTTGTTAAAAATGCCCTAGTGAGCTGCAGAGCTGGGGAGGGTGGCTAATGTAGTGTAAGAGAAGGGCTGTGGGATAAACAGGAAGGCTGAGCACGTTGCTGGTGTTTCGGAGGCTGTGGAGCAGCTCTGTCTCACTGGTTCCTTGGGCAGTGATGTGCCAGGGCTGCCTGATCCATAGGAAACCTTTGGGACAGATCCAGTGTTGAGCCTGGCTTATAGGGGCTGGGCTTTGTGTTGTGGGCAGCAGCTGATCTAGAAGGACTAATTACTGTTCCTTTGGTCAGCTTCTGAGCTGGATGTGAGGATAACAGATCTGGGGTTTGTGAGCTCACTAACATTTAATCTCCATCCTCTCTGAGTACCTGCAGGTTTTTCCTATTTATTCATTTTTCAATGCCCCAAAACCCCTACAGTTTGCATCCTTAAGAAGGACAAAGAGGTGTTTATCAAAATGACAGGCACGCCAGAGCTTGACTGTGTCACATCAGGGGGGTTTGGACCACAGAGGTGGGTCTGTTCACTCTCTGCCTCACCCACATGGCTGTAACCACTTCCAAAACATGGGCACAGCAAATCCCACAGCTGGATCTGTTCTCCTGCAGTGTTTGCTGATGACTTATTTGGTGGGCTCTGTCAGAACCCCTTTAGGTGTTGGTGGCTCAGTGCTCCTCCGTGCCTCTGGCTGGTTCAGTGGGAAGCGACCTGCCCCTGCCTTGGAGGGAATTCCATGGGCAGGATGAGCTCCAGGCAGGGCCATTAAATCTGTTTGTTGCTGAATCACTCTGTGCCTGCCAACCTCACAGAGGATTTACATCCATATTTCTCCATCATGGACAGGGATGAAAGTGGAAGTGCTGTGCCTGATGCCAGGGCCCACAAAGCTTCACTTTTGATCCCTGCTGCTGCTGGTGGCACCTCCTCCCCATGTGTGTCCTGCTTTGCTGGGAGAGCGAAGGAATTGTCCTTGGGAAGCTGTGAGACTGTGTTACCTCTGGTAAGTCCTGAAGTCTGGACAGCTTGAGTGTTTGCTGCAGAGAGCTGTGTGCTACAACTAATCCATTGCAGACTTGGCAGGTCTTCTCTCCAGGCTGGGCTGGGTTGGGAGCTGTGTTGCCATTTGTTCCTGGAGGATGCCAGAGATGCACAGCAAGGGGAGAGTGTTGGGGTTCAGCTGAATGAAGGGGTTGTGTCCCTCAGCTTCAATAAGGACCAGTAGCCTTGACTGACCAGTGTGCTGTTACACACAAGTAAACTCTGGTAGTGACCCCAGGTGGGTGTGACACACAGTCAACAGCCTTCTAGTCTGGTTGGAGAAACTCCTCCTGGGAAAAGACCACAGCCAGTGGTTTTGGTAATGGCTGAATTTCAAGCCTTGGCTTATGAAACTTTGCAAGGGCCTGATTCCTGGGAGCTGCTTGCATTTAGACTCTGTGAGAGGAGACCAAATATTGCTGTGCAACCCTGAAATCTAGGCTTTTGCTCAATAATTTTGGTTTTCCAGCAGATTAGGAATTTGTTCTTGGCTGTGCACCAGGCTGTTGACCTGCAGTGGCAGAGCTGTGGTGAGAAGCAGTTCCAGGGACTGCTCCCCATCCCATCCTTGTGCCCTGCAAGGAAGGAGGGTTGATTTCCTTCCCTGTGCCCTGGCTGGCAGAGACCTCCCACGGTAGCTGTGCTTCCTGAGGTGCTGCCTGTCTCTGCAGCATGAGGCTGATCCCTCTGCACCTCTCTCTGCTCTGACTTGTGCTGTTTTCTTCTGCTCTTTGCCTGTACATATTATTTGCAGCCCACTGCACCCAAAATACCAACTGGTTGCTCTTGGAGTGTGAAGCAACAGTTAAATGAGTAGTTTGGATAATTTTTTTTTTCTCATTTAGACAGAAGAAACCAGTTCAGCTTTGACCATGCATGTTACATTTTAATTTTTTTTTTCTCATGCCAAGAAATACAAAGAAAGTATATAAGATATACCATACCATCCTGCAGAAAAAGAAACATTTATCAGCAAAGAGAAGCACCCAGCTGCAGTTCCTGGTGTGTTCATGCTGTGTGTGGATGGTGGCTCTTCCCTTTTGGATTTGGAACAGGAGGAGCTGGTGCATGGACGGTGGCTGTGGCAGTGGGGGGATGGACCCTGCACTTCCACACCAAGGATCATGTCCTGGCACCATCTAACAAGGGCCCCTTCTCCCAGGTGGGATCAGGGTTGCCTTGCTGAATCCTGCACACGTTCCCTTTCTGATGTTTCTTATCCTGGATGGGTATTTATAGGTTTGAATTTCGCTATCTACTGGTGTCAGCAAATGCTTTACAAATATTCCCACTTTGAAAAGGCTGCTTTCCCCCCCCCCACCCCCTTGGCTTGTGCCCAAGCAGGGGAGTTTTTTCAGTCCAAACCTAACTGGTTTTGCCAAAATTAAAGGATGAAAAACAATCTTAAATCTGAATTATTTGAGCTTGACAGTGCGACCCTGGCTGTGGTTCTGTGATAAGTAACAAAGCGACAGGGCAAGGGTGAGGGTATTGGGGCGGGGGGGAGAAGAAGAAGTCATGAGGGCAGCCTAGTGGGTGCATTTCTGCAGCCTATTCCTGGGCTCAGAATGAACAGAAATGGGGTTTTAATTTTCTATAAAAGGCAGGATCTGCTCCCCTTGTCTACATGGAGAAGAGTGTGTTGGGAAGGTCAGGTACTACGTGCTGGGCTCTGCAGGGAGCCCAGGTCAGAGGTTCCCTGCCCTTGCTAACCCCTTCCAGAGGAGCCCAGCCATGACATGTCATTGCCAGCAAGACCTGTCCTGGTTAAAAGAGAGGCAGAGGATGGGAGGAAAGAGCCTGGGGGACTCACACATTGCTCCAGGGATAGAAATGCTGAGGGGAAAGCACAGTGAACCAGCAGAGATGGGGGCAGAGGGGTAAACTGGAACAGGGTGAAATACCAACTGGAAAAAGCAAACCCATCATGAGCACAGCAAACTTTGAACTCCTTTGTTGCTTTCTTTCCTCCCTTGCTGCTCAGATCCCTTTGGTCTCCTCTGCAGGCACCAGCCAGCGTGTTGCTGTGACCCACTGACTTGTGCCAGACCTCTCCTGACCCTCGGCTGTTGCATCCTACGAGGAGCTGCTATGAAGCCAGGCAGGTTCATCTGCTCAGCAGCAGCAAACTGCTGGTTCAGCTTAAGGCTTTGATCCAGCCTTGCTGCACCCAGCAAGGGCCCTTCTGGGCCTCCCCACAGAGCCCAGCTCTGCCCCAAACCCCGGGAAAGGAGCCCAGGGCCACCAGTGCCAGAGAGGTGCCAGAGCCACGTGCTCTGCTCAGAGGCTCTTTCCTGAGCAGTGCAAACTGTGTATTTATATCCCACCAGGACCTCACACTTGTCGATTGTAACTCCTACTTCAGCTTACATTTAGAGATGTTTCCCACCTTCTCCAGCCCTTCAGAGAGCTCTCCTCCCACCAGCTCAGCTTTGCTGTCAGGTAAGGCTGGATTGCCACCACACTGCTGGATCTCTTATGTCTCCTTTACCAGGGGGTGCAAGTTGGGCAGGTCCTGAGGATTTCGTGACTGTCAGAGTTGCAAACACAGAAAACTCTGTGTGTGTGCTTAGAGGAGGCTGCAGCAGGTGGCAAAGAGCTGGGGGGATAAGTAACAGGGTTTGGTTGTGGGGATGGAGAGGGAAGGTCTTGTGACAGTTTTTGTGATTGCCCTCCCGTGCTAAAAGCCAAGTTAAGGAGAGAAGTGGCTGTGCCTGGATATGGAAAAAGAGATGCTTGCATTAAAATGAGCACTAAAGCAGCAAATAATCACGAGGAATGCTGTTGTTCCCTGGATGTAGACCAAAGGAGTGACTGTGCCTGCTGGTGGCCTCAGAGTTCTGCCTTCCTCTACCTTCTTGTAAGACAGCACAGGTGAGGTGTGTGCCAAGGGCTGGGGGCTCTGCAACCTCTTCCTTCATGAATATAAGACAATTCCACCCCAAAAGAGCCAAAGAGGCAGCTGAGCTGGGATAAAACCGCGTGTGATGTGGAGAAGAGCAAAGTGGCAAAACCTTTGCAAAATAGGCTGGAAAAGGTGTTGAGAAGCTGGTGGAGAGAAGGGACTTTCCAGATATCCCTGGAGGGTTTATTTCTCCAGCACTGGAAAGCCAGGTTACAAGCAGAGGAAATATTTTGTCAGGGATAACTGTAGAGGCTTTTCTCTGGATTTAAATGTAGGATAAGAAAAAAAAGCTATGTTCAAGAGTGTAGTACAGTTGTATCGAATCAGAAAGAAGATTTTAGAATGAAAGGGATTTAAGTGTTTTAGTTTTTCTTTTTTTTTTTTTAATACTTAATAGTGAGGTGAGAAGCGTTCCCTCAGCTGCCTGGTGAGACAGGAGGAACAAACCCTGTCTGGGTGCATGCAACAAATCATCACCGTGGGGTTTTGGGGGAATGTTTCTGCCTTCTCCTGCATTTAGGGGAATCCTGGTACCTCCACTGCTCTGTGCTCCCCTGGCTTGGGACTTCCCCTGGCAAGGACCACTGCAGCTGCCTCACAGAGCCCCCCCCTCCTTCCTATGACTGCAGGCATCCCAGTCCATTTTGAACTGTAGTGGGGTTTAGTTTGTCTAGATTCCTTTGGAAAAATCAGGTTCAAAGGAAATCCGTGTTCATGCACGGTTCTATTAAGGAGGAGAAGGAAAAAGGTGGTTGTTTCTGGAGCTGTTCAGTGCCTGTGACTGAGCATTTGCCATCCAGGCAATTAGAGCAGCGTAATGTGAACCCACCTCGTGGGGGGTGGCAGGGATTAATCCTTTGGGTGAGGGAAAGCACTTTAGATGAAAGGCTTTATATAATGATAAAAGAGCATTTAAATTCTTACTTAATAAACACTTGGTGCTCTCAAGTCCTATAACTCACTTTTCCCTGACCGTTGGCCCTTCCTGCCTGAGGAGGAGCTTGCCCAGCTCTTCCCATCAGCTGAATTCCAGCAGCTCAGCGGGTAAAGGGAGAAGATGCATGGACAAGGCAGCACTGCCTTTGTGTAGCCCCAAAAGAATGACACCTGTTTGCCAGCAAGCAGCTTTTGGGTTCAAGAGTCAAAGAAGGAAACGTGTGGGGGATTCGGTGGGATTTCAACAGCCGTGAGATTAAAGTTGGAATGTCCGAGGGAGGGTTTCTGAAAAGCTTAGGAGGAACAGGTCTGGTGCCAAGGGGCACCTGGACTGAGGATGCAGGTGGGAGCTCCCACCCAGCAGCCTTCAGTGGTCTCCTGTTTGCTGAACTCACAAGAGATAAATTGGAAGAGAAAAATTGCGGATTTGGTCCATTTTAGCAGCCAGTTGCTTGTAATAAAGTGCTGGCAAAGGGGTGGATGGGAATGGAGCCCGAGAAAGTGCTGTAGTGAAGTGCTATTGCTGTGAGTCCCTGGAATCCCTTTTAGTGTAGAGAAAATTGTTAACAGCATGTCTGGGGGATTTGGCTTTCTCACCCCCTGGATTCAAATAATGTCTAGCGAAAGAAAACACTTTAAAGAGGAGCAAGCAAACAGGGGACAAGAGAATTTTCACAGCCATGCCTGTGGCTTTGCACGTTAGTTACTGCAGAGTAACTACAGCGTGGATTTACAGTTCACCCCTACTCTGTACTAACCCCCTGTGCCCATTCACAGCCCAGAGAAGAAGTCAGTGCCAAGCAGTTGCCATGTTGTGAAGTTTTCTATGGTGTGTAGTGGATTCTCCATGTAGACAAGCCCTCGGAAGCATTAAATTTGGTCGAAGGTTTGGGGTGTTTTTCAGGATGTTAGGGAGCAGAAGTGCCCTGAAGGACCACATTTCTCAGTCAGTCCATATTTCTGGGTCCCAGGTTGGCAGAAAGGCCAGGGAGTGCAGCTCTTGGTCGTGTATTTGTGTCAGCAAAGTTTGGATAAAAGAGACTCAGGTAATAGGGAGCCAGTGGACGTGGCCAGAAGTCATCTACAAAGCCTGACTAAAACAACAGGCAATGAAACTTTGC